ATGATTCCCCTTGGTAGCTATGATCTCAGCGATCCAAAAAATCCTTGAATTGCTGATCGTAAAAGATCAACAAAACTCGCCCACTGTTACAGTATCTTTATCTATCACCTGTGTTTGAGTTCCAGCTAGCATAGACTGGAATTATTCGTCTGAAGATATTGTCAAAATGTTTCCGAAACCTAAAAAATTCAATTTATCAACATTTTATGGGATTTGTTCAGTTAAGTAATAACTTTTTAAAGATATCCAGGAGGAATAAAGTGTTTGATACTTTCTTTAAAAAGGTTACAAGAAAATTTTTTTAAAAAGTCAATTATTATTTTTTGAAGTACTGGACTGACTTTAAGTAAGCTATGGGCAAGTTGTACTGTACAGATACAGACTATAGACAACTAAAACAGGACGGTACACCAAAAGAATCATCTTGTTTTTGAGAGATTATTATGCACTGACATTTTTAAGTGATAAAATTGGCTTAAATTCATAATAGGGTAATCGGATATTTTTTCTTTAAACAGTGACCAATCCATAGATTAATAACAATACAAAAAGACCGCTTGATTCGAGATTTTTCGTTCACATAAACCCTGAATCAGAGGCCCAAAGGAGCTATGCGCATGATCTCTGTTTGTCGTGTAATTCAACGCTGTCTGGGCGGAACTCCTTTGGCTTAGGGTTATTTGTGAACGAAAAACCCTTGAAAAGAGGACATACAGTGTTCTATCTGCATTGCTATTAATCAATGGACCAATCTCTTCAATTTCATTTAATTACGGTTTTTTACCTTTGGTTCCAGAAATAGTAGATGATTGGATTGATACAGCTGTTTGACATCGCCAGCCAGTAAATACAGAGGTACAGGGGCCTGCAGTAATTATCATGTTTATTCAATATCTCTGTAGTCTCCGCTGGAAATTATTATAGATTTCTGTAGAATTACCTCTAATTAAAACTAAAATGGAGACCTTTTAATATTCCAATTAAAGATTCAACTAACAATAAAATTGGTCATGTCACATTAAAAATTGAATGAAACAATCACATTGCCATGAGAATAAAGATCCATGAATACATGTTTTCAAGGATACATGGTAATGTTAAACCCCAAAAAACTAGTTGACTCCTCCTACATGACACCAAACATTTCCGACTGGTAATTGACAATTTCCGCCATTAACGTCTTCTAACCTGATGACAGGAGATTTGGCTAGATGAGGGGCGGCGTACATGATTAGGAAGTAAAGATGGTAAGGAAGCCAGCAAAGAGCAAACAGTCCAACCACCAAGGAGAACATTTTTATCACCTTAAAATACAATTGATAAGTTTACTCATTAGGGATTGTAAAGGGCTATAATAATTGCAGCTTTTAGCAAGTTAGCAAGCATTACAAACAATATTTCGCAGAATTTCCGTTTTAAATGGTGGATTTCAAAAAGATTGAAATTATGCTATAGCAAAAAAAAATAGTTCTGAACGACCATAAACCTTCTCTAGGCGTGTTGCCACAGACTAGTTGATCAAAACAGACAAGCCAAATGTATAAATAAATAGATGGAATATAGATGGATAATTTAGAAATAGGAATCCTGGTATGAGAGTCATTAATGAATCAGTCTAAACCTGCTTCTTTTTCAGTCTGCCTGCTTCAGAAGAAGGAGTGCTTTCTCCAATAACCTTCTGGTTCAGAACTCGGCACATTCTACACAAAAAGGCGGATTATATTTAAGAATTTATCTTTTTCTGGAAATTAAATTTGAAAAGAATACAATTTTACCTTGTGTATGCAAAGCACATGAAGATCAGCGGGAGTACGTAGGTGACAACAAACAGGACCATGTTGTATCTGAACAAAGAGAAGTCTCAAGTTTTCAAAAAAAAAACATTTTATCAAAATCATATAAGTTTGTTCTAGCTTAATAGGGGTAACTTTAGTTAATTTTTCTATTATTAATTTATATCCGTTTTTGGCCAACATTTATTTAACGAGTGAAATGAGAACTGCGAACTCTTGTAAATTGTGGATATCAAAATCAATGCTTGATCTCCATCTTTTATTAATCTGCAGATTAATTTAATCTATATTCCATATCGACCGTAGTGTAGTCGAACCCTGAAGGGATAACTGAAATGTAGAGATTAGACATTGATTCTCAAATTAAAGTGCCCGCAATGTAAATCGAGATCAGTGGATCTGGATAATGAGAATCCAGCACAAAATATTTCCATCTGAATGGGGTTGACTGGTACTTACATAAAGTCGAATTGTGACTGTCCTTGAAATCCGTCCCACCAGATCATTATACACACATACGCTTCTTCGCTCCTGGAATTTATAATTAATTTTAACATTGTTAAATTTAATTCTACATTTTTTTGGTTCCGCCTAAAATTGTATTCAATGTTTCAGGATTTAAGCCGGCGCTTAATTAAAGCCGGTTTTAGTCGGATTTGAGACGCGGCTTAAATTCATTAAATTTGGACTCTGATGTCGTAGACCTGAGATATGTCAAATCATGAATTCTGCTAGATCAACGAAAAAAGTTTGATATATCAAATGTTAGCATCATTAGGTTGCAAAAATATAAGGATTATTCAATTAGAGTTTGTGGAGAGTGTTTTACTCCTTCAAACAAAGACACAAAATATTGAAAACGATCACCTTTAAACGTGTATCTCGGGATCGTTACTGCAAATGAGTTAAATCAACTTTCAGTTAGAAAAATTAATGACACTCTAGATATGTTTACTACCTGCTGATTCGGTGTAGATCTGAAAGTAGAAGTCCAGGTAGAGAGAGAACACCACTGACCAGCCAAATACCAATTAGCGAGAAGGTCAGCTGGCAGCAGGTAGCTTTAGCCTTCAGAGGTGTCACTATAGCCTTGTGCCTGAATACAATAGATTCCTCTAGATAATTTTTCTAAAAGATTTTTTGTTTCGTGTCAGTGAGAATAGTGAGAATAGTGAGAATAGTGAGAATAGTGAGAATAGTGAGAATAAAAAAAAGATTTAGATATTTTTGTTCTAGGGGAATTACTTTCCAAGAGTTAAAAATAAAAAGAAATAGAGAAATAAAATAAGTTAATTTTATTTGATCCTTTTGGCATCGGTTGATCCAAATAATAAGCAGGCAATTGTTTTTCTATAAATACTACAGTGAGACAAATTTAAAAAAATTAATAATTAAATAAAAACATGAATGGGTGAATCATTTCGAATGACGACCTACCTATTGACCGTTAGAGCTAGGAGGGTGAAGATGCTGGCTGAGACGGTCAGGTAGGAAGTAAAGGTGTTAAACTTGCAGTACGTTCTTCCAAACACCCATACACTGCATTACATAAACATTAGGGCTAAACCAAATAGAGGTTAATCATGTGCGCACGATAAATTTCATATCATAATCTAAAGCTCTTCGCTCATATATATATATATATATACAAATTAAAGTACCCGGCGTTGCCAGTGGAATTTTAAAAAATTGAAAAAATGTTACGTATTTTAACTTCGGATACCCATGGGTTCCTTAAAAAAATCAGCCCATTTGGTCCGTATTACATCACCAGAACTCCCACCAACGGTAGTGCAGTATATACTGGTACGTATCTCATGCATGTGACCGTAATACAGACTTATCAATATTGTTATCAATTATATCTATTCAAAATAAAAATAAAAATTATAAAATAATTATTGGAGAAAACCTAAGTTTCAATTAGGTTTCTCTGGGATATCATCGTTTTCAGATTGGTTGCGTATTTGCTAAAAATTGTTTGTTTAAATTTACTATTTCTGTACAAAATTTTTTATATATATGAATTTTCGTATAAATTTGACACAGTTGATATAACTTTCATGGGACGCGATCAAGAGCTAAAGTGATTAGCTTTCATTTGTAATAATAAGTCAAAAGAAAATGTAAGTAGGAGCTGCATAATCTTTGTTCCCGATTTTGTGGCTTTGGATATACCAAACTGTAAATTTTGTTAGATGAAATAATCTAACTTTGAAATATCAAAAGTTTATATTATCGGGTTACAAAGATATAGGGGTTCGAAAAATTTGAGATTGTGCAGGCAAAACTTCAATTTCTTTAAAAAATGAATTAATTCTTAACCCAATGAAGTCCTAAATTTTGTTTGACTGAAATACTAAACCAATTAATTGTGTCACACAATTTGTTATTTGAAATTATCTTACCCATCTCTCATGAATAAGAATGAGGGAATTGTATTCAGTACAGCAATCCCTAAATCTGCAATTGCCAGATTTAGAAGGAAGAAGTTTGGTACTGTCCGCATTCCTCGATGACCTATAAATGAATTAAAACTTAATTAAATTATTAAAAAAAAATATGGCTTTTGTGTAGTGGTCGGCGTCTGAATCAATACAAGGAGCCTGTTTTCAGGTTTTAAAACTTAAAAACAACAACGAAATATCATTGTTCTATTTTGTTTCCATGTTTCCGATAAATGTCGAGAGGCTAATCATCGATATTTTGAGAGGACCTGACATAACCCCCAGGGATAGTTTATCTGCACCGGTCAAGATTAAGAAATGGTGTCTTCAGAGAAGATTTTTCAAAGTTGTGAAAATCTACCAAATGAATAAAGAAAATGTGCGAAATTAACTTTTTAATTGTGATATATTGCAGGACAGGAAAACTATCGTAGATAAAATTGAACATAAAAACTAAGTAGAGAGAAACGAGATGGGTTTTGAAAAATGAGTTACCTAGAATTATCCACAGAATAAGAAGATTGCCACAGATAGAAACAAAGAGAATGATGGCGAACAGGAAGGAAAATATAAACTCTATCCACATTTTGTTCAAACTGTCAAACCTGAAAACAATCTTTTTTACAACAAACTAAAAAATTGGTCACTTTTTGTGGATATTTGAACTTATACTTGAACCCAGAGTAAAATTTGCTGCGTAAAGAAATTTACAATCCTCTCAGAACCCCATTTTAACTAAAAGATTTTTTTCAAATGATCAACAATTTTCCCTAAAGCTTTTGCGCAAATCATACACAAAATGTTTTCATTTAAATATTTTCAAGCTTAAAGGGGCGATAAGCGTAGTTTCAATTAGCCCTCCATGCAAAAAATGGCAATCGCCGATAATCAACGTTACCCTTGAAACCTTAATCTGATCACAATTGTGGAGGATACTGTAGTTTTTCTTTACTTGAAAAGTGTTTATTTCTGCAAATTTCTCCGCTGCTTCTTGAAGTAAAAAATGCAAAGAAACCGCAAATGAATATGAACAAAAAAACATAAACTGTGATATCTAATTCATACTTGAACAGACAAAGCTTTTAATGAATCAAAGAATAAAAAAACTAATAATATTAAACACAAAATTTGATTGGAACCAAAGGATCGGGGGAAAGGAGAGAACTGAAAACACGATGGAGGAAGGATAGCGAGGTTTAGCGCTCCGAGATAATCTAAGAGAACTTCGAATAAGAGCAAACAGATGAAATATGATAATGAGCCGAAGGAATATAGAGAGAGGAGAGGGGGNTAGGGAGGGGATATAAGTAAATAAAATGGCCAGCCAGTCCCAGGTATTAGGTTTTTTTTTGTTCACTGCGTTTCCAGGGGCGTACATGGGCAGGGACCCAGGGTGCACGGCCCCCCCCCTACGCAGGGCTAATTTAATATTATATCTGCTTGCATTTCTCTTCCTTAGGCAATCTACATTCTACCTTTCATTGCATTGCAATCACCCAAACTCAAATATTAAGAAAAGAAATAAATTATATTCTGATTCACAACAATACCCTTCAAAGCTTTGTCTTATAAAGTATTTAATTAAATATCCATGAAGGCCATTTTGAAAACTGATTATTTTTTATTTGTGGTACATGTATATTTCATTTAAGCATAATAACATCATATTGTAAAAAAATACTTTAAAATCTCACTTTTGCCCTTAATTAAAAAAGTTTCATTAAAAAAGCTTTAGTCCATACTGCATTCAGTGTCAATAGATATTTGATCATCTATATATAAATTTAGCTTGTCTGTTTGTATCCAATAAACGTCAAAACGGCTGAACCGATTAGGCCCAAATTTTGTGTGAGACCTCACGTGGCCCCAGGGAAGGTTTATAAATGATAAAAATTTTAAATATTTGTCTTCATCAAAATTCGATTTTCATTAAATTTTTGAAAATTTTGAAAATCCACGAGTTTTGTTGTTAAAATCCGCGAACTTTTTTTCTTTTGTTTTACGATGTACACAAAGAGAACATATATGTTCACAATTGAAATAGAAGATGGGCGCGAAGCGCCCTAAAAGCCTAGTTATTTATAATACAATATGTACCAATCTCAGTAAAATATAGATATTTTTAATTTGTCGAACTATCTCTATTTTTCACCCCTTGAAGCTTGCACCACTGCACTGTATTAAGCAGCCCCGTAGCTAATATTTAAAAAAAGGGGGGGGGGAGGCACAAAAAGTAGGGGCCGCGCCGTATGCAAATAAAGGGACTGTATACGTAATTTCAAGAGTTACATTTCCGATTCACAACAGTCCCCTTTAAGCCTTAATCTGAGCCAAAATGAGGTAAAAATTGTCGTTTTTTGTCGTCAATTCAAAATTCGTTTAAAAAGGATCTAAAACAATATTTTGAAATAAATCTGAAAAAAAAATTGTTTTATTAATTTTACCTGCACAAGCATTCCATTTAAAGAATGGAGAGAAATTTTTCTTGTTCATTATTTTATTTTAAAAAAGTTAAAAATTGCAGCAACGAAATATACAGGAATTTTTTGGACACATGAGTCAGGGTGAAACTTCTAAACACCTTTCTTTACAAAAATGCTCAAATGCATCATTCGCCAGTCCTACAGTTTTCTTTGATACAATTTTGAAAAATTGAGATTTTTTTATGATTTTCAAACTCGATCAGGATTTCTTTTGTGTAGATAATTGGTCAATGCACTTATGTAAGCGAGGAAAAAAATCGTCAAAATTAATAATGATAAGTAACAGAATATCCAACTTGAAACACGGAAATCGGAAAAATCCCTAAAATATTTTTTAACTTTAATAATTTATTTTAATTTTTTACGATACTTTTAAATTTCAATATGATATCAGATGGAAACATTTTGAGACTTCTATATTTCTTGTTTTTCATTCTTTCTTCTTGATCTTCCATTCCTTGTCCATCCTTCAATCATACTTTGGCTAATTTTAAAAATAAAAATAAATGAATTTTTTGGATGTTTTCTAGAGCTAGCCAAATTGCAGAGGAAAAATCCCTAAAAGATATATTTAAGAAATTAGAGGCAAAACACCTGAATTTTGCAAAACTATATTTTTTATAAAGTTAAAAAACTAATTTTATAGTCTTAAATCAAACAGTTCTTAAATATCGAAAAACATTGAAATGGACGATATTCAGCGGCTCGTGACGAATCTCGTAATATTCATATCAACAAGTTTGAAAAAAATGAAACACAACCACCAACGTTTTTTTAGTTCGTTAAATTTCTGAATGAGTTTTGAATTTTTCAATTTTATTCGACCTTAAATGTATATTTTTAATTCGTTAATAACTGAATGAATCTTGATATCTTTTAATTTTTATCTTTTTAACTAGTTAATTAAGGTATGATTTTTTTTTGTTCCATCATAAGAATTTGACATTTTCGGTGAAATATTTTTACCCTGAAAATGAGTAAAATGCTAAAGCATTTTTTTAACAATTTCTCTTTTAACACTTTTACGAATTAGATTAATTTTATTTATTCATTTTTAATTTTTAGTAAATTTCCGCTAATATACTCTTTTGCTCTTGTTTTTGTCAGTACCGTTCTTTATTCTTATTATTTTATACTGGACACCCCTTATCCCTTCATAATAGTAAACAAAACTAAATTTATTTCGCTGAAAACTCAGATGGCAACTCTATGGCGTTTAATGTAATAAGTTGGCATGGGTAGAACATGCTCTGAAACATTCTTACCTTTTTATGTTTTCATTTTTCATTAAAAGTACTATAAATAGTTTCCTTTTGACCCGCTTGAACACTTCCTCTGAAAATGGCTATGATCTAAAGTTAGTAGATAAAAAGTAGATAAAAGCAAATTTTTATTGAACTTTTTAACCTGCAGGGTATTATGCTTAATGAATATTTTTTAAATTTTTGTAAGCACATAAACTCTAAAAACCCGTGTTACTCACAAAAATGGTCAAATATAAACAATCACGTAGGGATAATTTTTATTTATAAAAACGGTAGACCATTTTAATCACGGCAGACTAAAGTAAAATAAACATAAGATCTGAATTCAAAGATTCAAAGAGCTATTGAGAAGAATAAAATGTTAAAATTTTTAACACAGTGAAACCCTTGATAACGAATACATCGAAAGAATTCATCAAATGTCGTATTCTTCACTTTCTGATAATGGAATGTTGCAGATATTCAGTTTTTTAATTAAATGATTATATGGAACTCTTTAAAACTGTTCCCGCATATACATTGCTATTTATTTAGTTTCGCAAATACTGAAATTTACGAAATAAAGTATAAAACTCATTGAAAATTTGTCAAGACGACATTTGATAAACTCTTCCGATGTATTCGCTATAAAGGGTTTTACTGTATGTAACCGGATAAATTTGCTTATCTGACACCTCAGCGTAAAATCAGAACTAGAGGAGCAACTGAGTCACAAAGTCGCAACATTAATATAATTTGACCTTATCCTCCTGGTTAGATTGCAGTGCAATAATTGTAATTGTAATAAATGTAAATGTACAACTAGTACATTGTACAGCTAGTAACCTGTATATGCTCAGCTTGTAACTTGTATCTGTACAACTGGTAAGTTGGTAACCTGTAAATGGACAACTGGTAACCTGCATATGTACAGCTGGTTAACTGTATATGTACATCTGGTAACCTGTTTATGTACCTGGTAACCTGTAAATGTACAGCTGGTAACCAGGATATGTACAGCTATTAGTAACTTGAATATATACAGCTGGTAACCTGTATACGTACAGCTTGTAACCTGTAGTGTATATGTACAACTGGTAACCTGTATAAGTACAACTGAGATACAACCTGCAAACCTGTATATTTACAGCTGGTAACCTGTTTATGTATAGCTGGTAACCTGCATATGTACAGCTAGTAACCTGTATATGTACAACTGGTATACAACCTGCATATGTAGTGTACAGCTGGTTAACTGTATATGTACAGCTGGTTTACTGTATATGTACAACTGGTTAACTCTATTTTTACAGCTGGTAACCTGTATAATGTATATGCACAAGTACAGCTAGTGACCTTTATACATATAATTGTATAATTAATATAATTGAATTACTTAACAAGACCTCATATTAACAAATACTCTGCTTGTTAGATAGTTCATAGTATTTTAATCATAATTTTTTTTATTTTTTTAACCACAAATAAAATTAAAAAACACCTACACTACATTGACAAAATAAAAATAGAAATTTGTTATACAACATTTTATTGAGCAAACAATAATAAAAATGTACATTGTACATAACATAATATTTTGTACGCATAAAACCACTGCCAACAGTCATAGCCCTACAAAAAAATAACAAAAAGCTCAGAGCTAGAGAGATGTGAATAGGTAAAAAAAATAATTAAGAAAATTGGAAAAAAGGAAGATGAATACAGGAGATATAAATCACAAAGCTTTTATTCAAAATTTTATCATTTTTATTTTAAATCTAATTTCATAATTTTTCTCTAAAGTTAAAGAGTTAAATATTCTAGAGTTCATCTTTTCTCTCCAGAGGAGTTAAATCATAAAAGTTCTTAAAGTGGGTAATTAATAGGGTTTTAAGGAGGGGAGGAGAATTATATTTTAGTTCTGAAGAGACGTCTGCAAATTCGACTAAAGGTGGCTGTAGATAGGAAAAAGTTTCGTTTTTCGTTTTTCGAGTGAGGCCTCGGGAATGCAATAAATTAATATTTTCCACTAGATCTAAAAAGTTGATTATTTATATTAACCTATGATTAGGTAGTCCCATATCCATCTCTACAACATTGCCTAGATCTAGATGGGAGATATTGTTTGGGTTTACATGATCCCAGGTAAACACAGGCACATCAGGATCCATAGATATCTCAGGCTTTCCACTCCTGATCATTTATTAACATTAGTCATTAGTCCTAGAGAATTGTATAACAATAACAAATAGTTAAAGCTTATCTCATAATCCTCTTACGGATGTAAATAAAACTACTCCAGTAGGGTTGTTTACTGTGTCTAATCTGTATAATGTGAATAAAACTACTCCAGGGTTGTTTACTGTGTCTAGTCTGTATAATATGAATAAAACTACTCCAGTAGGTTTGTTTACTGTATCTAGTCTGTATAATATGAATAAAACTACTCCAGTAGGGTTGTTTACTGTGTCTAAACTGTATAATGTGAATAAAAATACTCCAGTAGGGTTGTTTACTGTGTCTAAACTGTATAATGTGAATAAAACTACTCCAGGGTTGTTTACTGTGTCTAGTCTGTATAATGTGAATAAAACTATATGTTATATTACGTTAAACAGAAAGGAATTGAGTCTTTGCAACAAACTCTGATTTTCTAATCCTTGTATTGTTCAAACCAAATGTCGTAGACCTTAGATATTTAAAACTATGAATTATGTTAGCTCAACTTATCTAAGTTTGAAATATCAAATGTCTACAACATCAGGTCGCTAAGATATTGAATACAAAATTTAAAGTTTGTTGCTAAAACTCAATTACTTTACCGTAATAATAATAATAATAATACTTATAACAAAAATAATAAAAATAAATTAATGCTAATAATGATAATGATAATGATAATAATAATAATGATAATGATAATGATAATGATAATGATAATAATAATAACAATAATAACAACAATAAGATGAAAAATAAAGCTAAAAAAATAGATGATAATNATCAGGTATATCAGGTATATCAGGTATATCAGGTATATCAGGTATATCAGGTATATCAGGTATATCAGGTATATCAGGTATATCAGGTATATCAGGTATATCAGGTATATCAGGTATATCAGGTATATCAGGTATATCAGGTATATCAGGTATATCAGGTATATCAGGTATATCAGGTATATCAGGTATATCAGGTATATCAGGTATATCAGGTATATCAGGTATATCAGGTATATCAGGTATATCAGGTATATCAGGTATATCAGGTATATCAGGTATATCAGGTATATCAGGTATATCAGGTATATCAGGTATATCAGGTATATCAGGTATATCAGGTATATCAGGTATATCAGGTATATCAGGTATATCAGGTATATCAGGTATATCAGGTATATCAGGTATATCAGGTATATCAGGTATATCAGGTATATCAGGTATATCAGGTATATCAGGTATATCAGGTATATCAGGTATATCAGGTATATCAGGTATATCAGGTATATCAGGTATATCAGGTATATCAGGTATATCAGGTATATCAGGTATATCAGGTATATCAGGTATATCAGGTATATCAGGTATATCAGGTATATCAGGTATATTAGGTATATCAGGTATATCATGTATATCATGTATATCAGGTATATCAGGTATACCAGGTATCTGGTACGTAAATTAAATATATGAATCCACAAATTTGGAATTTTTTTCTCAAAAAAAAGTTTAATTAATAATCATTACAATTGTGATATTGGAGTCCGTGAATCTAGAAAACAGGTTGAAACTAGTTTGGTTAAATCTTTATCTATAAATATAAGTATTCATATTTGTTTTAGCGAAAATACGAAAATAGATAATTTTTCTTAAGTATATTCTTTATTACCGTTTGCAGCTCCGAGGTTAATATCTGTGTCCACAATTTTGGGAGGATACTCATTCGTCGCCAGGCGAGTCATAGAAAACTCACCCCTAAACATGGAGTTCATTCAACTAGTTCTGAACCAACGTGAATACAACTGTTAGAGAATAGTTTTAAGAACACATTAACTAAGGATTTTTTCTTGCTAAATCAGTTTTTATTTTTCTTCTAAAGGAATTGAGTTTTTGCCACAAACTCTGATTTTCTAAACCATTTGGTTGCACAGATACAGGGATTTGAAAATTTAAGTTTGCAGCAAACATTCAATTCCTTAATTTATGAAAATATGTATTTACTGTTCTAATAATAGTTTCAAGTCAAGAAGACACTGCAGTAAGCGTAAGTTCAATGCCCGATCCACAACAGTACCCTAGAAACCTAGAAACCTTTATCTTATCAATTGAAAACAATCCGTTTCTAAATTCAGAAACATTTGTCTCTAATTCATACAATTGATTAGACAAAGATTTCAAGGATAGCATTGTGAAACGGAGAATTGACATCTATACATGGAGGGTCACTTAGGCTTATACAGTCTCTGTAATGTTACTTTTAGAGAGTTAAAAATTCCCCTAAAATATTTTTAAAAATTCATTTTTAGCAAAGTTACAAAAATGTTCAAATGTTACATTCTACCGGCTATGAACAATTCCTTCTGGTACTTAGGAATATTTTGACTTCTCACACATAACAAATATATAGAGGGGTCAGAGTTTAAAAAAGTAAACCTGTTTTATGCTTTTAATATTTCTTCAAAGCTTTGGCTCAAAATCTTTGTTTTTTAATTGTATTTCTCAATGACGTAAAATAACGAAAGAGAGCAGAGATTTAAATGCGCTGTGAACATTTAATTCCTAGCTTTCATATAAAGAGTGCCATCAGAGATTAACAACAGAAAATTTTCTGAAAAATATTTCTTTTTTTTCGTGAAAACTTGCAACCAAAAATGGAGCTTGTAACAAAAACAATAAAAAAATTGAGCCAGAAAATCTCCACAATTTCTCGAGATCTCGACAAAAGGCTTTTTAATAATAAAGATACTCTGTTCTGGTAACCTTTATCTGAGTATCAATGGTTAAAATATCTCTGAAAAAGGTAATTATTTCAATTTCCTTCCTTATTATAAAGAACCCCGAAGCGAAAAATGAAAATGTATATAGAAAAAAACCAGTTTTCTTATTTATTTTTGCTTGCAGCTAAAGGTTTAAAGGTCACTGAAAACTTCGGTTCATTTTAAGTACCTTGCCGACTTTTAATCAGCTTGCACATACATAATATTTAAGACAAGTACAGTACACCAAATCCACCAAATGAAATATATTTAAAGTTTATGAATCGCAGATTACTTTTACATATTCAGAGATTTTCCCGACAAAGCCTTAAAAATTTCAAAATTCTTTTAAATTACGAGATTATCTTTTGTGAAAAGATTTTCCTTGGCGATTCCTTGCACTTCTATAGATCAAAGAAATAATTGTCTTATTCTCTTTATCACATTAAAAAACCAATATTAAGATAGTTTTACCATTTACAGCACTTTTTACCTTATCAGGATTTTTAAGATTATCAGGATAGATTTGTTTGTTTTACTTTTTTAACATCGGATAATTCGAACTTTTTTTTTTCCAGTAAAAAGTCCGATACACACAGGTCTCGTTAAGATATCTTAGTTCTTAATTTTGTGGTTTCTCTGTGGATTTTTTTTTCTAGGACAACAATAAGGGATAAGATCATAACTAAACATTTTTTAAGCTTGGAAGAAACAATTATTTATTCATCAGAAACATGTTTTAAGTGTACCTATGTGAATAGGACATGAAACACTTTAAATATAAATTGCATGCATGAAATAACCATCGCATTTTTGCTAGGAAAGCCGGAAATTTTGTGGATTCTACCAATATTTCCCGTACATTAAACTATTTACTTGATATCAGGGACACTTTTAGCTGTGAGAAAGGCTGAGTTGAGTTCTTAGTTTGAAAAATTATGTAATTTCTTAAATCTGATATTACCCCCCCCACCCAGTATAGACAATAGAAAACATACTTGTATCCAAAATGATAAACATACACAGGAGCAGCACTCTTCATTGCATGAATCTAAACAAAATGGTTTTTAGAATTTTCAATCAATTTTTTCTTACAAAGAAGGTTCGGAGTTTAAACGTATTTTTAAAATATGATTCCAAGAAAGAAGTTTAATCGATTAAAATAATTTCGATGAAAGCAATTTTCCTCTCTTCGGTTCATTTAATTGGGAGTATAATCGCCAATCGATTTTTAAAGTAGATATATATCTTTAAAAATAATATTTTGAATTCATTTTTACTTCGTGAAAGGGTTTTCTGTAAGCAGTGTAAAGATCGTTTCACTTTCAAGGTTTCAGAATTAGAAATCCTAAAATTACTTTTAAATAACTTTTTCATTAAGAGTCATTCAATCAATCAATCGATTACAGATCTTTTGAGACTGTTTTATTGTAATGTGAACCAGAATATCCACAATAAAAATCGCACTCCTAGGCTGCAAAAAGTATAACTGACAAAGTTTCGACGCTTTTAAGTTTAAAAGATCTGAAGATGAATTGGAACTAATTATAGCTCTGCCGGTATTGGTTAATAACAATTCTCTATTATAGATATCTAGATAAATAAAAATAGGTCCGATCAATTCCATTTTTCTTTATGATTCATTCATTGGTTAATAACAATTCTCTATTATAGATTTCTACATAAATAAAAATAGTTGCGATCAATTAATTTTCTTTATGATTCATTCTAAGTGTAAAAGTGAATTTCAAAGCTTACCTGTAGACGCAGTATCTGTTTTGCGTACATTGTACAAATTGATCCTACCTTTCCTGTCGTATCTATAGGATGTGCGTAAGAACTGTCTGATATTGCGTCAATGAGCGAGGAAGCTATATCTTTATCGAGCCGCTTCTCAGCCCAATAAAAATCCTTCACCTAGAGATTATTTTTTGACAATCTTTTCTTCATTTCTTACTAAAAAACACAATTTTTATCTAAATAATGTATACTAATATAAATTTCATCAATTTCATTAATTTCATCAATTTCATCAATTTCATCAATTTCATCAATTTCATCAATTTTATCAATTTCATCAATTTCATAATTTCATCAATTTCATCAATTTCATCAATTTCATCAATTTCATCAATTTCTTCAATTTCATCAATTTCATCAAATTCATCAATTTCATCAATTTTATACCTTCTTAGCCATAATTTTTGGAGCTTCCGACTGCCCATCATGGAACCCAAAAAGCAGAGGACCGATCTTTTCAAAGTTCTCCTCGAAATCTCTGACTCCGGCCATATCGGAGAAAAATGTTGCTCCTCTGCCTGCTCCCTCATCATCAGTTACTCCTAAACAGATTTTTTAGAGCAACTTTTCACTGCCAACTGCCTAAAACCTTTATCTTTGAAACCTGATTATGTAAACGTAGCATCTTCTGGAATGATTTTCAGTGTTTGAAATATCAAAGGTCTACGACATCAGAGCTGAAAACTTTAGAATGGGATATCCTTAATCCCGATCGGTTAATTAATCTGGAGATTAATAGCAAGAGGAGAACAAGCTTTATTTAATCTCGAGATTAAGAAAAAGAGTGGCTCAAGCATTTATCCTGATATCCACCATTCAAAAGCTCCCAGCTCAGGTTACCAAGATGTAAGGTTTGGAAAATAAAAAAGTTGAGCTTTCAATTTCTTTTCCTCCCAATTCTTTTCTGCAATTTTACAAATTGATTGATCCCATTCCATGCAAACTAAATCAACTCAAAAGAGATAAAAATAAGGCTAAAAACAAAAAGAAGAAAAATGAAAAGAATGTTTTGAATTATGTCGAAGAATTTTTCATGAAATACTTGGATTAACAATTATTTTCAATTATCCCAACCTTGAAAACAATAGAAAAAGGTCAAAAGAGACGAGAATGAGTGGATCTTGTTTTTATTGCGTTGTATTCTGTATATTAAAAAAATAATCATAATCATAATTGTATGAGTAAAAAGGGCTGAAAATGAAATACACCCGTTATAATTGGATCGTGCTAGATACAGAATTCAATTATACCTAATACTATGAATGTAACGTTCCGGAATCCAATTATACCTATTATGAATAGAACGTGCTGGAAATGGAATTTAAATATATCTATTATGAATGTAACGAGCTGGATCTGAAATTTAAATATATTTCTTAGGATTCGAACGTGCTGGAAATTGAATCAAACTGTACTTTTTATGAATGGAACGTCCTGGAAATTAGATCAAACTGCATATTATGAATGGAACGTGCTGGAAATTGAATCAAACTGTACCTATTATGAATGGAACGTGCTGGAAATTGAATCAAACTGTACTTTTTATGAATGGAACGTGCTGGAAATTAGATCAAACTGTACCTATTATGAATGGAACATGCTGGAAATCGAATCAAACTGTACCTATTATGAATGGAACGTTCTGGAAATTGAATCAAACTGTACCTATTATGAATGGAACGTGCTGGAAGTTACCACTTGTCATCAAATCAATCGGTTCCTTAAATATTCAGTTGTTTATAATCGAAATGATTTTAACACCTCCAGGCAGAGAAATAGTTTAATATTATGCGACATTACTGTTTCGATTTTGGGTGCAAGTATAAGATAAACAAATTTATTTTACATTTACTTCATTTCAGAACTTCAGTAATTCTTTAAAAAGTTTTGTTTGAATGGCAATATTTAAAAAAGTAAATCTTTAACAAAAAATATTGGAAAAATATTTACCTGAGGCATAAATGGGACAGTAGCCTCTACATCAACCCTGCAATATGGTAACTATATTTACTATACAAGATTTAGATATGAGGGCAGGTATATATAGAAGCAGCAAACAGAGTAAATATAAGTACATGGAAACAGCAAATACGATAAGTATATAGAAAAAGCAATGACGATTAATAATTATAAAAACAGCAACTTGGATAAATATGTATAGAAACAGAAAAGAGGATAAATATATATTGAAACAACAATGAGGATGAATGTATAGAGAAACAGCAAAGAGAATGAATATATAGAAAAACAGCAAAGAGGATAAATATATAGAGAAACAGCAAAGAGGTATAGAGAATCAGCAGTAAAGATAATTATAAAAAGAAACAGCTAAGAGGATAAGTGTATATAGAAAAAGTAAAGTTGATAAATATATATAGAAACTGCAAGAGGATAAATATAAGCAATGTAAGGTATACCTGGGAGACCAGGAAGTAAGAGGTTCCTGGTTCTGCTCTAAATGTTTCCATTCATAAAAGTTAGGATGTGTGTTCATCAGTAAATCCATTGGCTTCTCCCTAAATCACAATCATCAAGAGAAGTCCAGGAAAATATTTTGATTAAAAACATAATCAAACATTTTTTTTATTTAATTTCTCTTTACTTCTTTGGTTCAAATTAAATAAATCGTCATCCAAATAAAAGAAGCCACGCTAACATCGTTTTAATGAATACAGTGACATTTTCTGGGCCCGATTCTTTCTTTCACAGAGAAATGCACTAGAAGAAGCCCCCCCTCCTTCCCCCTTCTTTACTTAACCACAGAAAAACACTTGTTTCTACAATTTTTAGTCCCGTCTTTCTTAGTTTCTTTTTTGTGTATTTATAGTTTAAGATTTGTATTATAAATTTGAAAATTGTACTTTTTATTAGATGTTTTTCTGATCTTTTTCGTTTATTTTCTTTTTTTAAGGCTTTTTAATTTATTTTTTCTGCAGATTAACCTCAGTTTTTTAGAAGATTTATATAGGATTTCTTATCAAAATCAAAGATAATCAAATATTTTTTTATATCATATTTAATAATAACAACATTCTTTTTTTAACAAATTTGAAACCGTTGCTATTTTCAACATTAGAAAATCTGGATTTGGTCTCATATAACTGTGGACTTAAGTTTTGAATTTAAATGATTCAATGATCCACATGCTGGTTGTTTAAATATTTGCTTAGTAACAACATGAAATACGCATAATGTTGTTAAAATGTCGTCTTCCTGTCCAGAGTTTCATGGGGCTCACTGTAGTTTGTATCATAAAAGATAAAACTTCTGAGATTACTGTACAGAAGCAATGCAGATTTTTTACACACAGTTTTGGTACCCTGCAGCTGGAAACTTGTTTATTTCGGTACCAGAACATATACCAGTTCATATACCAGATCATATAGCAGAACATTTACCAGATCATATAGCAGAACATATACCAGATCATATAGCAGAACATTTACTAGATCATATAGCAGAACATTTACCAGATCATATAGCAGAACATTAACCAGATCAAATAGCAGAACATTTACTAGATCATATAGCAGAACATTTACCAGATCATATAGCAGAACATTTACTCGATCATATAGCAGAACATATATACCAGATCATATAGCAGAACATTTACCAGATCATATAGCAGAACATTTATCAGATCAAATAGCAGAACATTTACCAGATCAAATAGCAGAACATATACCAGATTATATAGCAGAAAATTTACCAGATCATATAGCAGAACATATACCAGATCATATAGTAAAACATTTACCAGATCAAATAGCAGAGCATTTACCAGATCATATAGCAGAACATTTACCAGATCATATAGCAGAACATTAACCAGATCAAATAGCAGAACATATACCAGATCATATAGCAGAACATTAACCAGATCAAATAGCAGAACATTTACCAGATCAAATAGCAGAACATATACCAGATCAGAACATTTACTAGATCATATAGCAGAACATTTACCAGATCATATAGCAGAACATTTACCAGATCATATAGCAGAACATTTACCAGATCATATAGCAGAACATTTACCAGATCATATAGCAGAACATATACCAGATCAAATAGCAGAACATTAACCAGATTATATAGCAGAACATATACCAGATCATATAGCAGAACATATTCCAGGTCATATAGCAGAACATATACCAGATCAAATAGCAGAACATTTAAAGACTATTTTTAGTGTAAAATATTAAATTCAGTCTTCTTCTTATTACATTTCATAATTTGTTGGTCGTCATTGAAGTCTCATCCTTTTTGGTTTGGTAACCTTGTACCTGAGGCATTTGATCATGGTCTCCTTGTCTTGGTTCTGGCAGTCGACCAGCTTAGCGAGTTTATTTGCGCGCTCCAGGGGGCGCTTCAAGCTTGCCCACCAGCATAGGGCAGATCCAGATAAAGAAACAGCTCTAGAGTACAAAAATAGAGATAAAGATACAGCTCTAGAATACAAAGATCTAGATAAAGATACAGCTCTAGAATACAAAGATCTAGATAAAGATACAGCTCTAGAATACAAAGATCCAGTTAAAAATGCAGCTCTAGAATACGAAGATCTAGATAACAATACAGCTCTAGAATACAAAGATCTAGATAAAGATACAGCTCTAGAGTACAAAGATCTAGATAAAGATACAGCTCTAGAATACCAAGATCTAGATAAAGATACAGCTCTAGATTACAAAGATCTAAATAAAGATACAGCTCTAGAATACATACTAGATAAAGATACAGCTCTAGAATACAAAGATCCAGATAAAGATACAGCTCTAGAATATAAAGATCTAAATAAAGGTACAGATCTAGAATACAAAGATCTAGATAAAGATACAGCTCTATAATACAAAGATCTAGATAAAGATACAGCTCTAGAATACATACTAGATAAAGATACAGCTCTAGAATACAAAGATTTAGATAAAGATACAGCTCTAGAATACAAAGATCTAGATAAAGATACAGCTCTAGAATACATACTAGATAAAGATACAGCTCTAGAATACAAAAATAGAGATAAAGATACAGCTCTAGAATACAAAAATAGAGATAAAGATACAGCTCTAGAATACAAAGATCTAGATAAAGATACTGCTCTGAAAATTTCGTTGTAAACACTGTACTAGAGATCTTATTGTTTAAATAAAATGAATATTTTTAATGTTTTGACGTCATAAATGTGAAGCACTGTACTAGAGATCTTATTGTTTTAATAAAAAAATGAATAAATTTAATGTTTTGACGTCATAAATGTGAATATATACATTCTATTCAGATGATTTAGTGTTAAAATGAGCTAAAGTCGTGAATATTTTAAGTGACTTTTTTTTAATTGAACAAAAATTTTCGATTAACAATAAATCGTTTGCTTGCTCGTCTGTTCAGTAAAAATCTACAAGTTGGTCAAAAAGAAAAAAATAACAAACTATATTAATACTTTTCTTCTAGCAGTGCAAATTAATGCAAATTAATGCTCTGAATCTTGCAAACATCTTTTATAGTTAGATTTAATTTTTTGTAAAATATTTAGTTTTTAACTAGAAAGGGGAATGACAAAAGTTAATTATTTTCAACTTCAGCGCAAATATAAATATTTCATATGCTACTTAAAATTATATTTTTTTTTTGTAAACTATAATATTTTTTCGCGTAAAGAATTAATTTGATGTTAGGTATTTCTATCAAAAAACTAATTTTGAGGGCTGTATAAGAAGTCAAAAAAGACTAAATAACCTTTTACATGTGTAGGAAAATATTAAGAGAACTTAGTTTTTATCACAAACTCTGATTTTTTAATGTCTATATCAATTGCAGCTCGATGTCGTTGACCTTAGATATTTCAAACTATGAATTCTGTTAGTTCAAATTGCCTCAGTTTAGAATATCAAAGGTTTTACATCATCCTGTTCCAAAGATATAGGGATTAGATAATTAGAGTTTGAAGCAAGAACTCAGTTTCTTTGCCGTAATCTTCGTTCTGTTACCTGTTAAAGAGTCCTCTAGTGAGTGGAGAGAGAAGATGGTAGTGAACACTAGCCCCCCCAGCCTGCTGTCCAACTAGGGTTATTTGACCAGGATCCCCACTATACAACATATAGAATATTAGTGAACACTAGCCCCCCCAGCCTGCTGTCCAACTAGGGTTATTTGACCAGGATCCCCACTATACAACATATAGAATATTAGTGAACACCTTGATAGTTTACTTTAATATACAAATTAAATATTTTCATGATACTTTTTGTTTCACACATTTGTCATAGTAAATCCTTCAACATCTTTAAATGCGTTTTTTTTCTTCAGAAAAGTATATAAATATACACATGAAACAGTACTGCAGCTTTGAAATAACTGTTCGCATAATTTCAAATGACCCTAAATCTAGAGCGAAAGGAATTGAGTTTTAGCCACAAATTCAAAATTTCGAATCCCTATATCTTTGAAAATTGATGGTGTAAACCTGTGATATTTCAAACTACAACTATTTGATCAAACAGAAGCCATAGTTTAAAAAATCTAAGATCTACGACATCGGGTCACAAAGATATAGGGGTTAGAAAATCAGAATTTGTTGCAAAAACTCAATTTCTTTTGCATGTCAAAACCATGACCAGCTGGGGGTAAGAGGAAAGAATGTGTTAGCAAGATTTTAATTTTTATAAAAAATCTTCATTTTTAGTGAATAAGTGGCGCCGCAGACAAAAAATTAAAAAATTAAATTAAAGTGCAAGAAAGTCCTAATTTTCTTTCGGGGGGAAGACAACCCCATCCCCCCCATAACCCGCCATTGCAGTTGCATGCCTACTTACTAGATTAATCTTGTTTTAATAATGTCTAAATGAATATTATAGGAGCAGCTTGTTAGAATTGTTTGTTGATGTTCTTTACTAATTAAGAAAATTCGATTCACAACGGTTCCCTAAAAAGCTGTGTCTGCTCAAGAAAAAATAAGATATCTATATTTTAGTTTTGACAATAGATTATTTTCAATTGTGGTTTCTATCTAAAAGTGACTTGCGAATTTCTGCTATAGAAAGAAAAACTAAGTTAGAAAAATGAACACTACCCCCCCCCCTCATGTGGTCCAACAAGGGTTATTTAACCAGGATCCCCACTGTACAACATATACAATATAAGTGACTTGCGAATTTCTCCTAAAGAAAGAAAAAATAAGTTAGAAAAACGAAGATGGCTTCCATATTATTGATCAGATAAAGTTTTAAAGAGCATTGTATTGAAAAAGGCAAGCACCTCTTTTTTAAATGAACGGTTACTCGAAATTACAACAACTGTTCCCTTAAGATAAATTGAAAATTACATTATTCTGCAATCTGGAGATAAACAAAATTGTTATAAATTGTATTCTTCGGAACGCAAAAACTGTACAAAAATTAGTTTAAAGGGACAGTAAAGGAAAAATTAAAGGGGGTATAGGCTGAAAGCTAATCACTTTAGCTCTTGATCGCGACCCATGAAAGTTTTATCTGATGTCCCTGTCTCGAGAAATTGATATAAAACTGTGTTAAGATTATACGAAAATTCATATATGTAAAATTTTGAAAATCTGAAACTTAAATCACGTGACCAGAACTATCACCAATGGCAGAGCAGTATACTGGTCACGTGTCTCCGCCTGTATCACGTGGCCACTTTACTGCACTGCCATTGGTGGAATTTCTGGTCAAGTAATACGGACGTAAAAATAATATTATTATGAATGAAATCTATTGAAAATAGAAACAACAAATATAAAAGTAAACCTAAATTACAATTAGCTTTCTCTGGGATATCATCTTTTTCAGATTGGTTGCTGTTTTTCTGAGCATGGTCTGTTTAAACCTACTATTTCTATACGAAATTGTATATATATGCATTTTCGTACAAGTTTGAAACAGCTTTATATCAACTCTCGAGTTAGGAACTTCAGATAGGCGTCTCAAGGGTCTCGATGAAAAGCTAAAGTGATTAGCTTTCAGCCTATACCCCCTTTCATTTTTCCTTTACAGTCCCTTTAACATGTCTTAAAGAACTTTATGCTAAATGCGTTATTAAAAGATCGATTACAAAATTGATATTTTTTTTTGAGAATTAATTGTGTTTATTTTTGCATTTAATTACGATCTAAGAATTTAGCTTTCAGATTTTTTAGCAATTTTTAACAATAATAGTAAAGAACCTGAAAGCTTCTATGTTCTGTTTGACCCATAGAAGAGCAGCGAGCTGGTCACGCATACCATAGTTTCCAGGTAAAAGACTGTCTTCAGTTGATAGGAAACCAAACATTCCCAATCTAAACAAAACATGAATTATTTTATGTGCCACCCTTTTAGAAAACCCAACTCCACATTAGGCTCCTACTAGAAGGAGATGATTAATTTGTTGTACTGTACTGTTTCGCCGTCTATACTGTACAACTTGCTCAAGGCTGGATGAAGGTCAGTCAGGTATGTCAATACAGTCTGGTACTTCAAATACAGTCTGGTACTTCAAATACAGTCCAGTACTTCAAATACAGTCCGGTACTTCAAATACAGTCCGGTACTTCAAATACAGTCCGGTATTTCAAATACAGTCCGGTACTTCAAATACAGTCCAGTACTTCAAATACAGCCCGGTACTTCAAATACAGTCCAGTACTTCAAATACAGTCCAGTACTTCAAATACAGTCCGGTACTTCAAATACAGTCCGGTACTTCAAATACAGTCAGGTACTTCAAATACAGCCAGGTACTTCAAATACAGTCCGGTACTTCAAATACAGCTCGGTACTTCAAATACAGTCAGGTACGTCAAATACAGTCCGGTATTTCAAATACAGTCCAATACTTCAAATACAGTCCAATACTTCAAATACAGTCAGGTACGTCAAATACAGTCCAGTACTTCAAATACAGCTCGGTACTTCAAATACAGTCAGGTACGTCAAATACAGTCCGGTATTTCAAATACAGTCCAATACTTCAAATACAGTCAGGTACGTCAAATACTGTCCAGTACTTCAAATACAGTCCACAGTCCGGTAGTTACTTCAAATACAGTCCTGTACTTCAAATACAGCCCGGTACTTCAAATACAGTCCGGTACTTCAAATACAGTCCAATACTTCAAATATAGTCAGGTACGTCAAATATTCAAATACAGTCCGGTACTTCAAATACAGTCCGGTACTTCAAATACAGTCCAATACTTCAAATACAGTCCGGTACTTCAAATACAGTCCGGTACTTCAAATACAGCCCGGTACTTCAAATACAGCCCAGTACTTCAAATGCTTTGAAGTTTTCAGTGAGTTACGTGCTTGCCAATGACGAACTATTTTCACGATCTCTGTTTTCACTCAAAATTGTTAACGTAAGCAAAAAAATCTTTCTTAAAAGTGAACTCGTTATAATCATTATCAATGAATTAGATATTTTCAATGTTTAAAAAACTTAATCATTACACATTACATTGTCAATTTTAGAAACATCTTCATTCTAAGTATTGATTGATAATAATTGATTATCGACATTAGAATAAAAATGAAGAAGTAACAGAATACCATGGATTCCAGAAACAATTTTCTTTAAACCAACATGTATACAATTTCAAAACACTAAACGAAAATTAATAATGAAAGTTATCTTTTTATTTAATCTATATTCAAAATTACAATTTGAATCAAATTATTGATATATATATATATTATTGATGTTTAAAAGTCATAGCTTTTATTGGGCCAATCAGGACAATTAGTGAGAACGAAAAAATTATCCAATATAAAACCTCAAACTCAGGGGCGTAAATAAGGATTCTGTAGGGGTGGGTAAAATTTTTTAATTTGGCGCCCCCCCTAGAATTTATTTTACTCCCTCCTAGAAAAATATCATGATGTTGTTTATTATTATGTTAAAAATTGCAACACCTGTACTGTATGGTAACTAAGACGATATCCTGATCCAGCAGATAATCTGGGGAATATTCCGCGGCAGAACCACGTGCAAAGTTCCCGCCATGAATCCAGACCATAACAGGCCGACGTTTACTCACCACTAAATCCCTGAAAAAAAAACAAATCAATAAAAGTTTTAAAATGTATTAATTTTAATTCTTATCATGCAAAGAATTCTAAAGTAAGTACGTTGCATTCAGAGGCGCCTACAGGGGGGGGGGCTACAGGACTTAGACCCCGCCCCTTAATCACTGAAATCTATGTTTTTCAACGGGGACTTCAGGCCGAACAGTTGCTGAGCCCCCTGTAAAAAAAAATAAGTTTAAGACCCCCCCCCCCCGGAACCATTCCTGTTTACGCCCCTGACTGAAGTAAAACAGCTTGAGAGTAAAATTTATAATTGTTAAAAAGTGCTAAAATTGCTCCAATAAAAACTGAGATCTATTTTAATATTTCAATATTACCTAGTGAACACATTCAACCACAAACAGTCTTCATCTCCAACCCATATATCAGGCTAAACAAATATAAAATCAGTTTATGCATCTTATATATAAAACTTAACCCTAATATTTATTTAACTATAGCTTTCACGTTCCTTTTCTAATAACAATTTATTATATTATTTTTATATAATGCTAGTTGTAGATACGACACAACAATAAATTCTTTAAAAATAGTTGAAAAATTCTTATGTTATTTATTTATATAAACAGGGTGAGTAAAAAACCAGGATTAACGATGTTTTTAAAAGTTTTGTTTGCTCCTGATTTACGGTGTTAAAACATTAAAATGTGAGAAAATAAATTCAAAACATTTTTGGAACATTAAAAAAATTAATCCAAATTCTCCTTGAAAAAATTTAATTTCTTTTAAAATTTATTGACAAAATGTTAATTCTATTTTTTTCAAAATTTCCTACAAAGGAATTGAGTCTTTGTCACAATCCTAATCCTAATCCCTATAAATCCCTGATCTTTGCAACTTGATGGCCCTGACCTTAGATATTTCAAAGTTGAGTTTGAAGAAACTTAATTTTTTTTATAAATAATTGAAAGCAAAATAGAAAGAAAATGTCAAGATGACAAAAAACTTCTTCTTGGACTTTGTATCATAATCTATATATATACTTTCATCAAAGAACTTCATCCCATAAAGAATATCCTCAAACCCTTGAAAATTGTTTCCTTAAAAAATTCAGAGTTTTTCTTAATTCGAAATATTGAATCTTAGAAACTTTTAAAAACCAGTTTTACATTGTTGAACAAAAATAAAAATGAGATGGGGGGGGGGGGATTCGGCACGAAGATGTTCAATATCCCCCCACCTCACCCCCCACCCCTACCTCTAGTCTCATGCGCTGTGATTTATATTATCATTAATTACAAAAATTAGTAGGAATGAAAATTTAATTTTCTCGATGAACACATTTCATTTTTTAGTGTATTGTTGAACAAAAACTGTGTCCGAATTTAATGAATTTGAGCCGCGTCTTAAATCCGCCAAAAACCGGTTTTAATTAAGCGTCGGCTTAAATCTTGAAGCAATGAATACGATTTTAAGTGGAACCAACTATATTTTACATTCTTTAAAGGAATTGACTCTTTTCAACAAACTCTGATTTTCTAATCCTTATATCTTTGGATTCCAACGTCGTAAACCTTTGAAATTTCAAACTATGACTTTTTTTAGATAAAAATATCAAAAAATTGAAATATCAAAGGTTTACTACATAGGGTTCCAAAGATATTGGGATTAGAAAATCAGAGTTTGTTGCAAAGAGTCAATTCCTTTGGCCTTTGTTTGAACTTTCATTAATTTTAATTAATTTAAGAATTACAACCATTTTTGTGGATGGAATGGGCTTAAAATGAATAATTCTTTTAATTTATTCTCCCTTTTGGAGTAAAAATTGTTCTAATTGACGGTGTAATTTTTCAGAAAAAAAAATAAAAGATTTCTCTGGATATATCAATTAAAGTATAATAATATCCAAATTGCTATATTATGAAAGATTATCAGAGAAAAACAGATTTTAACGAATTATAAATTTTTCTTTTTAAGTGCGCAACTGGGAAAAATTTATACTTTGTATTAGCAGAATAAATAATTTGCTTAAAACAGAATGCGTTTTAAAATTTTTTTAATTTATTGACAGTTTCATTCAGTTTTAATAACCTGATTCGGATAAAACATTAATATAAACCAAAACCAGGTTCTAATAAACAAAAGTAACCTTGTAAGGCCGGGTTAATTAAAATTCAATAGACTTTGATTTCATATAATCTCTAAAACATGCTAAACTAACAAATTTTACGTCTCAGAATTTTGAACGATTTCCATATTTTTATTCAGTTACATAGGAATAATTTTTTTTTAATAACATTATTTTAAAACCCGTAATTTCAAGAAAGATAAATCTGAAATACGGTTTTTTTTCAATTCAACTCTCTGAGGGCCAAAATTTATCATTTTCACGTTGAAATTATCGATATTTGGACAAAGGTTTAATTAATTAATACCATCTCACGCAGAGTTTTAAAAGTTGAAATTTTATATTAATAAAAATGATCTACAATGTATTTGTTTTTAATAAATTGTCACTTCGAAAGATGATTAGAAAATCTTTTAATATAAAAATATATCAATCAAAATTAATCAATACGCGTATTTCTATAGAAACAAAAACCTTATGTTTTCCTGAAAATTTCAATAACTAAAAATTGATACACAAAAATAATGTTAAATAACAAATTAAAAATATGTATACAGTAATAACCAGAAAACTCTGGAACAGGAAGACGACTTTTAAACTCAAGTTATGACTTTAGATAGTCCAATGAGTACGGGAACCAGAAATTGTTGAGGGTAAACAGACCCATTTCACTTGATTTCTGATCTAAGAAGTGTCTAGTCAAACTATTTTCCTTGCAACAACGTTTCCGTATTGCTATAAAGTCGTCTTCCCTCTTCAGATTTTTCAGGTAATGACTGTATATGTTTGTTTGTTTGTCCGATCAAGTCGGGAACCCCTGGATCGATTTGCCTCAAATTTTGGTTGGGGAACTTGGGAGATCCACGGGAATGTTCTTAGCTTGGTTTTATTTTGAAAATTTAATTATTCGTTAAAATCGACCAAGTGCTGGAAAGCGGCGGGAGTAATTATGAGTAACTTGGGCAATGCTGGGTTCTCAAGCTAGTAGACAGGCTAGTAGACAGGCTAGTAGACAGGCTAGTAGATAGGCTAGTAGACAGGCTAGTAGACAGGCTAGTAGACAGGCTAGTAGACAGGCTAGTAGAAAAAGGTACCTTTGTTGCAAGATGTTGGGGGCAGATATGACCGTTATGCTTTGCTTCCTTTATTCCTTCCCATTTTTGAACTGGTACAGGGGGCCTGAATCTACGCGACCCTGTCGGGGGCTGTACATGCTGAACCCCCCTGAACGCTAGAATACGCTTTCCGCCTCTGAAAGTGAATAAATAGGTAAAGGAGTTGAGTCTTTGGTACAAACTACATTTTACTGATTTCTATATCTTTGAAACATATTGTTGTAGACCTTACAATTTTCAAACTTTTCATTCTGGTAGATCAACTAATTTAAGTTTGAAATATCAAAGGTTTACACTCTCAGGTTGCAAAGAAATAAGGATAAGAAAATTTGAGTGTGTGGCAAAGACTCAACTTTCTTTATATCTGCAGTTGTCGGCCCGGTTCATGAAACGGACTTAACAGTGACAAATATTCGATCTTAATGCATTTGGAAAAATTGAACTTTTAATAAATGCTTTAGTTTTGGAACAATTATAGTACACCGTTAAATTGTTGGCGGGTCAAACGATGTTATATTATATAGAGGGACTATGTACAATCAACACGAAACTTTGACCTAGACCCAGCTTAGGTACAATCTTGTCACCAAAAAAAACTATGTTTAAAATCGGGAGGATCCAATATTAATCTAATCAACAAATTATGATTTTACAGGTTTTTTATGTAAAGAAGAATTGGCGATAAAGAAGAAACTGATCAATAAGTTAAGATTTCTGAATTTAAAAAAAAACAGATACAATTATGATATGAAATAGATTAAGAGATTAATAGCTGATCATCAATAATATAAATTTGGAAATGTACAGAAACAATATTGAGAAATCCTTCGAGCATTTAATTATTAACTTAATTTTGAGGAATACTAGGAATTCCTAAAGAACTAACAGGAAATTTCTTAAATTTTATTTTTGTTCCAGTTTTGTTCAGATAGCATTTTATTATTATTGTTGTTATTATTAGAAATTGGAAAATAAATGAAACCCTGATATATACGGCATTTGCCATTCTATGTTGCGCGCACATGCCCCGTAAAATTCCAAAACAAAGAGAGGGGGATTGAATTTTGTAGATCCAGAAAAATAATATCTGTGGGATGCCTGAGAGAGCTGGCAGCTGGTGGGGTCTTAAATGTAGGACATGTGGCCGCAGCGCTCGGCCCCCTAGCCTGTCATAGCCGCAGCGCTCGGCCCAGAAAGTGTCATAACTTAACCTAACCCGTGGCCGCAGCGCTCGGCCCCCTAGCCTGTCCTAGCCGCAGAGCTCAGCCCAGAAAATGTCTTAAGCTAACCTAACCCTAAATAAATACTAATTTCTGGATCTACAAAATTCAATCCCCCTCTCTTTGGAATTTTACGGGGCATGTGCGCGCAACAAAGGATGGCAACTCCCTGATATACCGGCTGTAAGAGGCGAATAGCCATTAACTCTTGTGAGCCACATACTTTAGATCTTCAATCAAAATGACAACGTTTTGAAGGTTAAACAAATGACAATGTCGTGAAATCAGTGGGATTTAATGAAGGATAATGAAGAATTCCTATTTTGAGTAAGCTGAGAAATTGCTGATGAAAGCTGAAGATGGGAAATGAATCGGTTCAGAATATATGGCCGGGCTGCTTTCCCTTCCCGAACATAGTCATCTAGCGGCTGTTCTTAGAAGTTTTAACCGGGTTCCGAACTATCTTGGGGACATCAGGTACGTAGAAACTACAGGCTATCAGAGGCAGAAAGGGGGTGGGGGTGGGAGGAAGATGATAGAGCCCTTGACGGGTTAGACTTTTCAATTAAATAAGAACTGATCATTGATTACTTTCCTGAAACTCTCATTTTCCAATCCCTTTGCAAGCTAATGCCGGTGTAAGTCTTTAATATTTTAAACTTTGTAATTTTTGTGTAAATTTTGTGTAATTCATTTGTTTGATTTATAAAAGAGCTCTCTAACATCAGATTGCAAAGATAAAAGGATTAGAAAATTAGAATTTGTCTTCAGTTTTTTTTACTATACATCTTTTAGTTTTATAAGAAAAGGAATTAAGTCTTTGCCACAAACTCAAGATAAAAAATCAGAGTTCGTGGCAAAGAATAAATTATTTCTTTAGTTTTACCACAGAGTAAAATTTTCAATTATCTACATTTTAACAACCCAAAGAAATACGATTACACTCTATATAAGTGTATAGTGTTAGATACGTAAACATATCGTGATGTACACAACCGACCACTCTATTAATTAATTAATAGGGAGGTCGGTTGTGTACATCTCAGCTAAGCTTTACCTCTTCGTTTTATTACGAGTTTTACCTTGATTCCTCTACTGTACCCCAGAGCATACCAAGCTTAGTCTGGGCAACTGGAAACTCCCATCTTTTACCAACCTAGGTCAAAACATTCAAATCATAAAAAAAAACAATTTAAATAATTTGAAAAAATTTATTTGGTAAAATTGAAATTTATAGCAACATATTTTAAAAATCTATCATAAAAAATCAAAATTTTATTAATTGTTGTTTTTGTTTCACCCAAACAATATAATTAACACTTACCAAATTTTTCATATATGTCAATATTATTCTTAAATAAAATTGTTTGCAAATTTTCTGGGGTAATTTTGATATTTTTTCAAAATCTCTCCCGCTCCTTAATTATTAAAGCTCTTGGCGTTGGCGTATATGGCCATGTCTCAACTCTAAGAACAAAAAGGGAAAGCTCCCCCTCCCCCACCCCATCTTACAACCCCAACTTAGATTAGTCATAAAAAGCCAAACCGGGGGATTGAGTTTAAAAAAAGAAATCATATTTTTCTAACCTTAATTTCTCCGATTTCTCTTTCTCTGTCTACATCCTCAACATTATTTTTCGATTCCTTTTCAAATAAAAATCTAATTTATTTCTTTAGAATCTTGTATCCATCAATACAATTTATAAACACTGCTACCAAACAATATTAAACGGGACTTTTAACGAAATAAATTAAAAAAAAAACAGAATTTATTTGAAAACAAATCCGACTCTGCTAATAAACAAAATTTGTAATGAGATTTATTCCTTGGTCTGATCTGTAGGAATAGAGTTCGGGGATCCGGGAGTAGGAATAGGGTCATAGTCTGGTTCTGTACCCTGGGTAATAATAATAATAATAATAATAATAATAATAATAATAATAATAATAATAATAATAATAATAATAATAATAATAATAATAATAATAATAATAATAACCTTATGACTCATTCTTTCTCCGTCATGTGAACTCCTAGTCTGACAACCCTGAACCACGTGATTGATGTAACTGGCCTGCATGACCAGCATGCAAGCCAGAATTCTCCACTCTACCACCATGATCTCTGAAAACTAAGCAATAAAGTTAAATTGTTTATTTAAAGGGACTGTCAATATTATTTCAAGTGACCCTTTAAGAAGTTTTCAAGTTCATTTTGTTTCAAAATTGATGGAGATATTGCAAAATTTGTTCAAATTTTAATTTATTTAATAAATTATAACTTTCTTAATATCTTATATCTTTGTCAATGTTTAATGGAGCACCCTGTTCCTAAAATTGAAAAATTTTTAAACTTAAAAATAAATACTTAAATATTTTATCTCATTAATGTCGTCAACAGCGACAGTTGCTTAAAATATCAAGATTTAAATCCTAATGGGATTGACACTACAGGGCCGGTTATAATTGGATAAAAGAGAAGATTATTTATCGTTGATGTGTGCTCATTAACCTATTTTATAAACTTATCAAATTATGTTGATTTCTTTTGTTCGTAATGACAAAAAGCAAAATTATTTGTGACAGAAACAATCTCAAGAACTGACGAGGGTCAGACCGAAATATATTTTTAATAAATATGGAACTAACATCTACTTTTTTACTCTACAGAGGTTTGGTCCATCACCATCACCGAATTTTAAAGCAAAAAAAAGTTTAAAAGGTTTATTAAAATTTGGAGTAGTTCATTTTATGGATTTTGTATAATTTTTAAACTGCTTGTCATAATATACACCTTTTTTGTAAACGCAATTTTAAAAATCCTAGTTTTATGATTTTTGAAAAAAGTATAGTTTTTATTTTTAATTATTCGCTAATAGTTTTTAAAGCGAACATTACAATTTTGACAAAAACTGAGTTCTTACCACAAACTAAAATTTTCCAATTCCTTTATCTTTGCAACCTGTTTGGTTACCACATAGATCCAACTGTGAAAAGTTGCATTCATTTTAAGACCATGTTGACTTTGAAGAGTTGCAATGCCTTTGCCTTTAGTTTACTCTTACCTCAATAAATCATATATACATTCGATATCATCGATTTTTGCATACCATTAGATTATTGTGTAACATAAGGACCGGAAAGTGCAAACCCCAAAAAGTTTGCTCAACTAGGATTCCATTTACATTTCTGTCTTAATCACATAAATAATTCTGTAGTTAAAAAGATTATCTGGAAATCAACATTGTTTTCAATTCACATTAATTTCCCATTTGGTTTACTGTTACGTGTTGCCGTCTGTAGTAGTCTGCAGTAGTCTGTAGTAGTCTACAGTAGTCTGCAGTAGTCTGTAGTAGTCTGTAGTAATCTGTAGTAGTCTGTAGTAGTCTGCAGTAGTCTGTAGTAGTCTGCAGTAGTCTGCAGTAGTCTGCAGTAGTTTGTAGTAATCTGTAGTAGTCTGTAGTAGTCTGTAGTAGTCTGTAGTAGTCTGTAGTAGTCTGCAGTAGTCTGTAGTAGTCTGCAGTAGTCTGTAGTAATCTGCAGTAGTCTGCAGCATTTATACTATTATACAACTTACTATATTATAGTAAGTAAGTAATATTCATTGGACACTAAATGACAAGTTAACATAAACAAGAAACAAGAAGCAAGAAGAAAAAAGAAAGTTGAACAGAAAAAATTGGAAGGGAAATCTCTGGGAAGACGCCCCCACCCGCCCCAAGAATTTATCAGAAATTTGTGTCTTACTTAGTCAGATTCGTCAGATGCAACTCAGGAGTTTAAGCAAATAAATATAGAGTTCCAAAACATGAAAGCAAGATCCTCAGCCTGTTCAATTAAATACAGGTTTCAGAAAAAAGCAAGATCCTCTAAAGATAGTTCTTTCTTGTAAAGTGTCTAATTACAAGATATCCAAACATTTTTTTTTCAAAATTAGCCGAATTGATTGGAGGATGTTCAAACAAGAAGAAAGTAAGGAGCAAGAAATGTAGAAGTCTCAAAATATTTTTTATCTGATATCAAATAAATATTTAAAAATATTGTAAAACTTAATTTAAATAAATTGCTAAAGTTTTCAACATAATCAAATTTTTCAATTTAAATTTTCCTATAATGCTGTAATCTTATATCTCTTATTTCAAACCTACAAATTATACAGGGTTACAGAAGGATGAGACTTTAAACACGATCTACTGTCGGAACTTTTGTGTAGAGTATCGTTAATCTCGATATCCAATGTGTATACTTTTAAAATTGAGGATCAATGCTCCTGATCCCTAAATTAAAGTTCTCTGCTGGGTATGACCACTACGGGATATCGAAGAGGAATAAAATTAATCCCGTGATGTTCATACACTGCAGAGATAACTTCACTTTAGGGATCAAGCATGATCCTCAAATTTAAAAATTTCCAAATTGGATATCGAGATCAAGCGTTTAAAGGGAGTGTTCGCGAAAAATGAAAAGGGGATATAGGCTTAATGCGATAAAAAAGCGCTTTTGATCGCTACTAATCTTCCTTCTATCTGTTGCGCCTATAAGGAGAAAATTGTTAAAACTGACTCACACCGAAGAACGTAACGTCAATACAAATGCAGAAAGTTGCAACATATAACTCGGATCGTAAAAAAATCAATTTTATTCCAAAAAAATCATTCAGTTATTACAACCGATAATCATCGATATTTTTTCGACACATTCGTATTTAGTTGATATTTCATAATATTTAATATTTTTATGATCTGATAGTTACTTTTATTCTTGTTTCCAGGATTTTTCATAATGAAGACGACATTTTCCAGGAATGTTCGAAAATGAAAAAATGAAATCAAAAATATTATAAAATATTAAATATATACAAACGTGGCGAAAGATTGTAATATGTGAATGATTTGTTTGAAATTAAATTGATTTTTTTACGGTCTAAGTCGTATGTTGCAATTTTCTCAATTTTTATGGACGCAAAGTTATTCGGTATGAGACGTCTTCTCCTTATAGACGCAACAGATAGAAGTAAGATTAGTAGCGATCAAAATCGCATTAAACCTGTACCCCCTTTCATTTTTCGCGAACACTCCTTTTAAGATTAACAACATCCACACTAAAGTTCCGGTCTCAATAAATATCCAAAGTTGCAAAATACCCTCGAGGCCTAAAGAGTTATGTTTAAGAAAAAATAAAAACTTTGTCGCGAAAATTGACTAGTTTTTTATAATTTAACCATTTCTTCTCTTACAGTGAAGCAAGAAAAAACTTTTTTTTTACTTTGAAATCTTAACATCAGAGGCCGAATTTAAAGAATCCAAAAGAGTGCCGGCTCAAATAACGAAACACTGAATACAATTTTAAGTGAAACATACTATTTTTGAGCCGCAACTCAAACTATGAGACGCTGCTCAAATTCTTTAAATTTGTCCTCAGGGCTAAGATAGAAATATAATTAGGTTGGTTATGCTTAAACTATTATCAAAGGCATGAGCTCAGATTTTAAATACTCAGCTCTCAGAACAATTCAAACTTCAATATTTTTTTTTAAATCATGACAACCCCAAAAAAGTCCGAAATTCTAAAAATGAGTCAAAGCAATTATTTCGGAATAAAAAAGTATGAATAGAAAGATTTGGCGCACCCTGTACAGTAGGATGTGCAGTAGGAAAAAAGAACAGTTTGACATTTCAAATTTAGATTTTTTTCGGTGCTTTTTCAAGAAATTATTAAGAACATCTCTGAAATCAAAATAACCCTTCACCAGCTGCCTTGTCATCCAACACGTGAATTATAAATCAAATAAATGAATAAATAAAATTGGTGTTGAAAACATATTCTTACATTTAGTGTCTCTTTACGATAATTATCACTTTTATTAAAATCGAATCTTTAATTCCAAAATTCCCGACGAATAGTGTATATTACTTGCAAGGAGTCGCGGTGCAAACAAGTGCATATATGTGTGAAGGCTATCACAGGTTCTCAGGCACTAAGGATGGTTTAAAGGTATGGAAGGAAGGGGGGGGGGGGAGTAAAGCAGGTTTAACCATCCCTCCACCATCTTCAAATATGCAATCACGCTAAAATTTCAAGGAGGAGTCTGGGCCAGGGGGGGGGAGGACCGGGGGTTGGAGGGTTTTATGGGCAATAGTCAGAGAACGTTTAGATAGAAAGTGACATCTTCAGGTTTTAGAAAACAAAGAATGTACAAAGGTTTTGAGCATAAGTAGGACGGATATGAAAAAAGAGATAATGAGTTATAGGGATGAGACAGAAAAGACGACTTGAAACTCGTGAGAATCCCGTGTTCAAATAAGTCTTCTACCATGCATGGAAGATGTAATGATTCGATAAAGATAAAGAAAGAAAGAAAGAAGAGCAGAAGTTGAAGAGAATCATGAAGGAAACAGCCAGTATAAATTCCGTACAGTCGTCTGAAAAGTTTTATCATTTGTGGATAACCCTGCAGCTCGGGGAGAGAGGAGAGGAAGGGGTACGTACGTATGAAGAAGGAGGTCCCCAAAGAAAAGGGGGGGGGGGATATTATAAAAAAGAAAAGGAGACGGATCCAGAAAGAGGGATAGAATAAAAGGTCATTTAAATAGGAAGGCTCCATAATATGAGAAAAGTATAGAAAGGGAATGATACAACCAACAAGTGAAAGCTGATACAGCAGGAAAGGAAAAGATACAGGAAGGCAAATGATACAATAGTAATGTAAAAATACAGTTGGAAGGAAAAAATAAAGGGGGGAGGGGGGTAATGATACAACCAACAGCAAGATACAACAGGAAAGGAAAAGATTCAGAAGGTAAAATGATAAAACAGGCGTGAAATTAGGATAAAACATGGGGAATGATACAACGGAGTGAAAGAATATGCAGTATAAAAGGAAAATATACATGATGGGGATGATACATTAGTTTAAAAAAAGATATTGAAAGGTGGAAAGAAGTACCAAAGGTGGAAAGAAGTACCAAAGGTGGAAAGAATGAAACAATTCAGGAAAAGGCGGAATCCTGAAAGGAGGAAAAGGAGATGAAGAGATACAACAGAGAAAGGATTTACAGAACACTGGTTTCCCATGGACTAGACGAGTCGAAGAGGAATAAAATTAATCCCGTGATGTTCATACACTGCAGAGATAACTTCACTTTAGGGATCAAGCATGATCCTCAAATTTAAAAATTTCCAAATTGGATATCGAGATCAAGCGTTTAAAGGGAGTGTTCGCGAAAAATGAAAAGGGGATATAGGCTTAATGCGATAAAAAAGCGCTTTTGATCGCTACTAATCTTACTTCTATCGCGTCTATAAGGACAGGAGAATCTTCTTTA